TTCGTCTGCGACGTGTGAGAATCAAATGTAGCTATTCCCGTCGCACGGATGTCCAGTGGAAGTTTCGTGGCCTTGAAGGTGTCACGCCCGAATTGGCATTCCCTGCAAGAGACTGGTGGGTGTGCTCAACGTTTGTGCGAGATCAGACGGTCGAGTCTCCACTATCCATCTCCTGAGTTGCAGGCATGAGTTGCCAAGTGACGAAGTTCAGCAACAGTCCCGAGAAACTCGCAGTCATGATCTACCCAGCGTTCACTTCAGAAATTGACATGGGCAACGATAACAAGACGGAGTTGATTGAGAACTGTAATCCGGAGCTAGTGACACTTGCAGCCGATGACTTTGAGATCATCCGCGTGCTCGGCGTCGGTACCTACGGCGTGGTGAAGCTAGCCAAACACAAACCCACAGGCATCAGTGTGGCACTCAAGGTGCTGTCCAAGGAGTACGTGGTTACAACACGACAGGAGAAGCACATCTTGCGAGAACGTGCGGTACACTTACAGCTACAACATCCGCTAGTAGCGAAGCTGTACGGCACTTTCCAGGACGATGACTGTCTGTACTTGGTGCTCGAGTATCTGCCAGGAGGAGAACTATGGAGTCTCGTGTATTCTCTTAACGAAGAGCAAGACGAGGACGAAGACGCTGTTAAAGCACCGCAATTAAAGATGGAAACGCCTTTAAAGGAGGACAGTGAACTCCGGCCCGCTACGCCGGTCAATGTACCAAAGTTAATCTCGTTGGAGTCTATGGAGCATATTCGATCACGAACACTTGAGGCTGGAGATCTTACTATTCTACGCAGCGAGTTTGGAGGATTAAAGGAAGAGTATGCAGTGTTTTATCTCGGATGCATCTTGAGTGCACTCGAGTACTTGCACGGCCAGAGTTTGCTGTATCGTGACCTGAAATTAGAGAACTTGGTGCTGGATGAAGAAGGTTATCTCAAGATTCTCGACTTTGGCTTCGCTAAGCAGGACGCACAGCGAGCGGAAGATACAGATGATAGTAGTGAACAGACTCAGAACGCACGGAACCTCACTCTATGCGGAAGTATGGACTACATGGCGCCAGAGGTGCTTCTGCGTCAGGCTCATGACCAACGTGTGGATATTTGGTCGTTCGGTATCATAATGTACGAACTACTACTGGGGAAGACGCCATTCTACCATGAAAATCCACGCGAACTCGGTCGTAGAATCACCCACGATAATGTGGAGTTCCCGAACGAGTTTGAAGAGGAATGCCCATTAGCCTGCGACCTCATCAACCAGCTCCTAGTTAAAAACCCAGATGAACGATTGTCTTCTATGGACAAGATCAAGCAGCACAGATTTTTCTCTCGGATGTTCACATGTCCTGAGGACTGGCAGCGTTTGCTCCGCCGAGAATTCGAGACGCCATTCGTTCCCAAGCTCAATGGACCCTTCGATACGTCCTTCTTCCAGACTATCGACGATGAGTATCAGGAGGAGCTGGAAGCTGGTGTGGAGCCATATTTCGAGGACGGCTCCAACATATTCAGTGATTTCTAAGTCTCCTGGTATTTCTCTGTCTTCATGTATTAATACGGCACCAAACAACTAATTTATTTACACACATCCCGCTAGCGATAGATTAAATCATTATGCAGAATAGAGCAATAAGAAATAATACAAGCATCACATCCAAAATCGTTTTAGCTTTTGTAATGAATTCCAGCTCTAGTTGTCGAGGTTTCGGTGGTTCTGCTGGATCACAATAAATACGCTTGACTCTACGCTACTACTCGCGTTCTTGCGAGTCCATAAATGTCTGCAATGTTTGCAGTTTGGGGCTTCTAGTATCCGAAATCCGAGTCGGCATCACTACCGAAGTCTTTCTCTTCTTCTTGGACACGTACGAAGAAACTAGTGTCAAAAGGACCGTCTAGTCTAGGGATAAACGGAGGCTCCGCTTGCCGTGCTTCGAGTTGCTGCCAACCTTGTTTCGACGGGAAATACGTACGGAAGAACGTCGTCTTCTTCACCTCTGAGAACGACGCAAGTCGCAGTACTGGGTCCTTCTCTAATAGTTTCTTGATAAGAGAACATACCGCCGGATGTCCTTGTTCATAGTCTTCCGGGAACTGCACTGGCTCGGAGATGATACGACGGCCCTGCTCTCGGTGGTTGGCATGGTAGAACGGTGTAGTTCCGAACAGCATTTCGTACAGAAGAATACCAAAGGACCACAAATCTACTCGCTGGTCGTACGGTTTGTGTTGCAGAATCTCAGGGGCCATATACTCGGCACTTCCACACATCGTCGAGTTCCGCTCTGTCGTTTGGGTGGCGTCTGGCTTGGATAATCCAAAGTCGATGAGTCTCGGGTATCCATCTGCATCCAACACGAGGTTTTCGAGCTTCAGGTCGCGATACAAGACTCCTCTTCTGTGCAGAAACTCGAGCGCTGTTACCAAACACGCTGCGTAAAAGGCTGCATAGCGTTCATGCAGTCCACCGTGCGAACTACGTAGCTTCTGCTTGAACAAAAAGTTCTCTAGTGTTAAGCTATTGCGGCCCATTGCGATGCTCGCTCCACGTTGCTGTCTCTGCTCTTCATCCGACTCGGACTCGGTGGTCACGGAGTCGGAAGTTTCGGGCTCTTCTACTTGTCTACTTGATCTCCTGTTCTCTTCCTCGTCCGAGTCGTCACAGTCTTCATTCTCCTCTAAATGTCCGTCATCGTGGGTGTACACCAAGCTGTAGATCTCTCCTCCGGGACAGAATTCCAGTACAAAATACAGCGCATCATTGTCTTGGAAAGTGGCATAGAGTCTGGCAATAAACGGATGCACTAGACCCAAATGAACGCTCTGCTCCCTCATAATGTTCTTCTCCTGATGCATTTCGTGCACCAAGCGTCTCGTAACAACCTTAATGGCTACAGTCGCGCCAGTGTCCAAGTGCCTCGCCAAGTGTACGGAGCCGAAGCTTCCTCTGCCCAGAACGTCCAG